GTCTGCTCTGCAGATCTCTTCCAAGGACACTATCATTGGATTTAAGAACCAGATAATGTAGATAATCCAGGATGATCTCCTCATCTCAAGATCCTTAGCTTAATTATGTCTGCAGAGACCCTTTTCCCAAATAAGTTAACTTTCACAGGTTCTGGGGATTAGGACCTGGACATATATTTTGGGGAGCCACGATTCAAGGCACCATAATAAGTAATGATAGCTGCATGAGGGTGTAATCCATGGGCTTTTGTGATTTAAATTTTATACGTAAAAAGACTTTTTATTTTTTGCCTATTTCCTAGCTCTTTGTTTTATTGTGGACTAGTTAGGTTTTCCAGGGACCTGGGTTTCATTCAGGTAAAGTGGCAAGATGCACAGTGTTTTAAATTTTGTCTAATTTTGGTCTTAAAGTCTTAAAAAAAAAAATAAAAACTCTTCTACATATTTGTCTTCATATTCATCTTTCTGAGAGGCAGGATAAAATAATTCTTAAAATTATAGACTGCAAAAGGTATATCTGGATTCAGATCCTGTTTGACTACAGACTGTAAAAGCTGTATTTGGATTCAAATCTTGAGTCTTACTAGCTGCATCACCTTAAACAATTTTCTTCATCTTTAAGTACCTTCATCATAGGGTTAACTAAGGGTTTTACACACACCACCACCACCACCACCATATAATGGTTAAAAGTGTCTAGACTGTGGAAAGCAGTGTGTTATTATTATTAGCTATTATTGTAAAGAACCACTATAGTCTTCTTTCAAAATAAGTCCAGTATGATGAACTCAGGTATCTGATCCTTTCTTACAAGATTTTATGCCTAAAAAGTTTGCAAAATTTTCAAATAAGGAACAATTGAGAAGTACTGAAAATTCCAAATATATAAAATAATCACTAGAGATATAATATAAAGGCCTAAAGGAAGCCTGTAACTTGAGTGAAATAAAAACTGCCATTTTGCTTGGGTAAGTCTGAGACCAAGGAAAATTGTTTAGGTTCTTTTTTTTTTTAATATGTACATATATATTATGTATGTATATCTGTATATATCTATGTATACATTACTTTTAAGAGACAGAGCATGGGCAGGGGAGGGGTAGAGAGAGAAAGGGAGACACAGAACCTGAAGCAGGCTCCAGGCTCTGTGATGACAGCATAGAGCCCAACCCAGGGCTTTGACCCAGGGCTCAAACTCATGAAGCATGGGATCATGACCTGAGCTGAAAGTCAGACATTCAACTGATTGAGTCACCCAGGTGCCCCTGTTTAAGTTCTAATGGAGGGGACCAGATACTTAGGGGATGTGTCACAAAAGTTAGAGCCTTTCACTTTTAGGTCACTGATTCTCACCCAACTTATAAGGACAAAACCACAAAAGTAATTGAAAATCATTATCATCTAAAAAGTATTACGTACTGCCCTTGAAAAAAAGTTGTTTGCTTAACTCTGATTTTCAGGCAGTGACAACCAACATTACATTGAACACTCACCATTTGGCAGTCTAAATAGAGAGGTTAGATGGTGAACGGGTCTGAAGACAAAATGACAATCTGTTCCTCCAGGGTCCTCTGAAAGGCTTCACAAGGTGGGAGAGGGGCAGTTTAGCTGGCTACTGCCTCTGCAGAATTTAATCCAGAAATAAGTGCATATTAGTTTGGAGACTGGGATACCAAAACTTGCTAGCTATTATATACACTGTAAGGAGATTCTTACAGTCTTATGTAAAAGAAAGTTTTAAACTAGCTTTATAGAGTGCAGTTTACACCATAAAATTCACCTGTTTTAAGTGTATACTTTAATGATTTTTGGGTAAACTTATAGAATTACGTAACCTTTGCCTCATCTAGTTTTAGAACATTTTAATGGATAAATTTAAAGGAATATATATCTAATTAGGCACTGCAGTGGCATCCTAATAGTCTCTCTGCTTCCATTCTTGTTATCCCTGTAATCCATTTTCCATAGAGAAAATATTTTTTTTAATGTAAATCAAATTAAATCAGTTTTCTGCTCAAAACCCTTCAACAGCATCCTATCATACTTAAATTAGAGGCCCTATATGATCAAACAGCTGTCTAGCTCTCACACCTTACTTCTTGGTATTCTTCTCACTATATAACAGGTACACTAGAATTGTCTCTTTCTGTGACTAAAGTCATTCCCCATTGCACAAACTGTTTACTGGCAATGTTCTTTGTCTCATGGCTTCTTCCCCGTCATTACACACTTCAGCTTCAATGTCAATTCTGAATGGCCCTCCTTAACCACGAGAACTAAAGCAGACATTATTGCTTAACTTTAATTCTCTACAGTGCATTTATTATTGGGCATTTTGTGCTTTGAGAAGTATTTCTTATATGCTAATTGCACACAACACTCCACCTCGTGTGAGCTTTATGACAACTGGAACTCGTCTTGTTTACAATTTAATCCCAGCACCCAGGAAACTGAACGGGTTGACAACATGGGACTTCATTAAATACTTGTTCAATAGTGAGTAAGAGAGAATAGATATCTGCTCTCTTGGAGTTTATATTCTAAAGGGGGAGACCAATACATAAAAGAGAAAAAGAAACACCTAAGTTTTGTTAATTGTTGTGTAGGAGAGAACATGCTCTAACAGACACTGAAGTTTTAGTGGAAGCAGAGGCTTAAGATGAGTGGACATTTATGTTGAGATCTCAAGGAATGCTGGGAAGAAATCAGTTATGTTTGGCTGAGTCATGAAGAGAATTCCCAACAGAGAGAAGGACAAATAAAAAGTCTCAGAGGCTACAAAGTGCTGAGTGAGTCCCAGGAAAGTCTATTTCTACAGAATAGTAAAGCCAGAAAAGATGAGAAAAGGTGATGAGAAAAGTGGTGGAAAGATAGGGACCAGATTAAGAAGCCTAGTTAGGGAATGGTAAGAAGTTTATGTTTAACTCGGAGTGAATCAGCATGTCATTTAAATTGTTTGATTTAGGGGCGCCTGGGTGGCGCAGTCGGTTGAGCGTCCGACTTCAGCCAGGTCGCGATCTCGCGGTCCGTGAGTTCGAGCCCCGCGTCAGGCTCTGGGCTGATGGCTCAGAGCTTGGAGCCTGTTTCCGATTCTGTGTCTCCCTCTCTCTCTGCCCCTCCCCCGTTCATACTCTGTCTCTCTCTGTCCCAAAAATAAATAAACATTGAAAAAAAAATTATAAAATAAAAAAAAAATAAATAAAATAAATTGTTTGATTTATTCTTGTGTAGAGCCTTACAACTCAAACCTCACCCCCAGTCGGGAACAGCAGCATCACCTCTGAGCTTGAAACAATTGCAGAATCTGAGGCACCACCCAGAACTGAATGAGAGACTAAGTGCTGTTAACAACATCCCCAGGCGATTCATATGCACATTTCAAACTTGACAAACACTAGTGAATGGATTAGAAGGGACAAAAAATGGAAGAGATGTGGGTTAGATGGAAGAAATGGGCTACATGTGTTAGTCCAAAGGAGAGGCTGCTCCTGTTAAGAGTGACCGGACAAAGGATGAGAAGACTGCTTTAGGGTATATTTTGGAGATAGTTGGCTTAGGTCTTCTGGCCAGCTAAATGGAAATTTCAGTAGGCAGATAGTGATATGAACCTGGATTTCTGAGAAAAGGTTAGGATTGGAGATACAGATTTGTGCATCTATTGGATGTCCTGCTTCTGAGTTTATAGTGTCGTTTTACAGCGTTTTCTATTTTACTAACATTTGCAAGTTGCCATCTTCATGGAAAATTAAGACATTGCCTTTCTGAAGGTTGTCAGATTCCTCACTCTTTCACTCTGAGGTCCTCGGTTGCTAGATATCTCTCATCAAGTCTGTTATTAATGCCTGCACAAAAAAGGTTTTGAATAAAATTCAAGGCCAGTGATGATCCACACTCTTCCTTCTCCATAGTCCCTAGGATTCTCCACACCCAAATCTTAACTGGGAAAGAGATCCTCCAGTCTCCAGTTCCTAGGTTCAAAGCACTTTGAAAACTCCTGGGTTGGTGGGTCCAATTCTCTGGATGTACATAAAATTGTGTTCTCAAAACAGAATCGTTGACAAGCCAGTTAACCGGTATGGAGAAACAGAAGTTCCCACTGGGGAAGTTTACGTAGGGTCCCCCATTCATAAGCCAAGAGGAAAAGAGATTTCTTGCACAAGCACTTCACCAATAAGGGGTACAGCTGAAGTCCAATTTAACGTTTTTCTCTATAATACTATTTGTCTCATCAAGGATAGTTCAATCGTTGAGAAACGTTTATTGCAATTATGAACACAGACAAAAAGGTCTTTTTTTTTTTTCTTTCTTTCTCCTTTCTTTTCTGTTTGTTTTTGAGGTATGGGAAATGGGCAAAGTTCTTGACATGGTTTCAATTCTCAGCCATTGGCAACCCAGAGAATAGTCCCAGCACATCACAGTATTCGTGGGATGATTCCAGGATCGGGACTTTTTTGGTTAATTCATGACACTGGAAAAATCTACAGGCGTTCTGGTTAGGCAGTGGTGTGAAGATCCTCCCAGGTATTACTATGTCCATACTGACTGTTCCCTTTCCTTACTGTGATTTTTTTTTTTTTTTTAATCTGTCTGCAATACCGCCCTAACAAGAAATTCTCAGAACTTTGAGAAGGTCGCCTTCAAGAAAAGCACGCATCATATTTGAAAAGGATGCCGCCAGTGGGAGTTGCTTAAAGGAAGAAAAGCTGAGGGCTAACTCTGGAGCCAAATACGGGTGAGGTTAGGGAGGGCAAGGCAGAGCTACCTCGGCTCGGGACCCGCCTGCCAGGATGGCCTCAGTCCCGCGGGGGGGAAAAAGGCTGGGGAGGAAAGGGCAGGTCTCTGCGGCCTTCAGGTGCTAGCCGCGGGAGCGGGCGGAGGTCCCTCGGCACCTCACCGCCGCCCCCCCGCCCCCGGCTCCGAACGAGAGTCCGGGAATCACCACGGGTCCCGCTCCGCCCCGCCGGGCGGGGGGGGGGGTGGAGGGAGGGGAGGCAGGCGGCCGTTCTCTCCGGCTATAAAGGGCCCCGGGACTCCGTAGCTCGCCTCAGCTTCCTCCGACTCCGCCTTCGCCGCCTTCCTTCCAACTAGAGCTCCAGTTCCCGCTCAGGTTCCAATCGACCCACTCGGGCTCGGCTACTCGGGCTGCAGCAGAAGATGGCGGCTCCGGTGGCTCGGGGCGAGTGCTCCGAGGCGGCGCTGGCTGCAGCCCTGGCGGATGTGCCGGAACTAGCCCGACTTCTGGAGCTCGACCCGTACCTGAAGCCCTTCGCCCTGGATTTCCAGCACAGGTACCGCCTGATACCGCTCAGGTCCCCCTCCCCATCCCCCCCCCTCTCTCCTCAGAGTGGGACTGGCTGCCTTCCCAGCGCGGGCTCCGGGGTCGAACCGCCTCTCGGCTGGGTGCGTGCAGGTCCCGCCCTCTTCCGGGTCCGCCTCTCAGCCCCGCCCCGCCCTGCGCTGGCCCGCCCCCGACCTTGGCGGGTAGCCGCTTTGTACGGTGGGCGTCGGGGTGACTTCGCTGGGTCCTGTGTCTTGCGGAGTGGTGGGTTGATGACAACTCTGGTCCCCGGACTAGACTTAGAAGCGCGGAATAAACTTGCCTCATCCCCTCTCCTTTCCTTTCGAACCAGCGGGTGTGCGCCATTGAGTACGTGCTTTGGCTCCCAGCAGTGATTTCCTCAGGTGCGGATACTGAGGGAGGCAAAGCCACTGCAGGTTTTGTGACCTTTCCATTCAACAGAGTTGTACTGTGAATTAGCGTGTGCGTAACACTCGGCGTGTGTAATCGTGCGTTTACAATTTCGTTTATTTAATTGCAAATATTGTGATTTTATATCCACGATTCTCTCAGGCAGCTCTTGCTCCTTGTTAATATTTCCTTTCAGAGAAGATGAAACGTTACCTTGGCCACTTTATTTACCCTCCGTGGGCCCACATTGAAGAGGAAACTTACAGCGACATTTGTCAGCAAAGTTTGCCCGTGTTTGGCATTGCCACCTCGAAGAGGGACAAAGGCCAGGAGAGCCAAACTTCTGGAGGCCCGTTTAGGGGCTTTAGCTTCAGTTTGTCTCCTAACATCCTACAGTACATTGGTTTAGCACAATTGAGTTGCCGGGATAATAATTCTAGTAGGCAGCTCAACTTCGAAGGTATAGTTTGTAAGATTTAAATAGTTGTCATACTAGTTATAGTAGTTTCATTTGTGAGATAAGCACATTGTGATTTATGGTTTCAGCCCTTTTAGCCGAGAGACTCCAGGGCAAAAACTACCATGGCAACAGAATACACATGGTCAAATTTTCAAGTAATAGAAAACAGCCATTTAGTTATGGCCAAGAAGCAGTGTTGGGGGTAATGAAACAGGTTTGATTTGGAATTTGGAAAAAAAAACAACAAAAAAACAAACAAAAAAAACCCCACTTAGGTTCATGACTTGGCATTGTCACCTACTACCTGCATTCAATCCAGTAACTGTTTCTTAAGGGGTCCCTATGAACAAAAAATAAGAGGTGACAAGTTCAATACAACATCTCATTCCAGAGCTTGTATACCCTAAAGAATGAGCCCTCCTCAAAGTAGTCACCTTGAGCTGTCGCTCAGTTGATCAGATGATTGGAACCTTATGCAGCCTTGTGAAATTGCTTTCAGTATTTACAGTTTATACTTTCAAAGTCACTGAGTCCATCATCTTCATAGTTAAAACTTGAATTTGATTTAGAAATAGTCAAAAAATTTTAGAGCAAAGAGCTGGTGGTCAGACTTTTTTGATGTGTTTATTGATGATGATACTTAATTTATTTGTATGCTTTGTAAATGGCACTTAAGACCTTTCTAGGAGAGAGTTGTGGGAATGTTTTGTTCCCCCACCTCCTTTAAAAAAAAAAAAATGATCACAGCAGACAAACATCCCTTGTCATGTAATTGACTTCAACTCCATTGGGACTGAAGCAGTTATGATGCTCTTTCATGGTTTGTCAAAACTAATGAGAGAGACAAAGGCCACAATAAAGAAAAGTGGGGGCAAACCACTATTCTTGGTGAAAAGGCTGGTCCACTGGGCCCTTGTGCCTCACTCTGACCTGGATTCTACTTCTGGTCTTGGTTTGGAGTAATTGCCATTTTCCAGCACACATGTTCCATTTAGGCATATCAAATAGTCATTTGGCATTTGGCAGTAGTAACTTTTACTGCTAACATTTGAAGAATAAAACATCCTTCCCTCATGAATTTTGCTTCTGGTTACTTTATCTATTCTCTGTTTATTTCTAATAACCCACTGGCGCATTTTGTCTTTGGCCTAACACAAATATACAACCAGCCAAACATTCAAGTGCAAAGTAGAACTTACTGAGGAGTGCAGAAAATTTAGGGTACAAACAACAGTGTTTAGGAATGGTGATGGGGGAGTCAGTTTCTTTTCATTGATGCGCTGTCTCATCTTTTCTCAACCAAAGTATCTTCATCAGAAATTCTGTTATGTACATTTGTTGTTCTTGTTTACCTTTTCTGTAACTGTAAGAATGTTGGATCCAGTGTGAGGATTAGTGAATTACTCTGTTACATGAAATAAAAATTAGTTCATTAGTGTGTGTGATAGCCCCTATAATGTCTCATTGATTACCTCCTAAGATGGGATTTTCCTCTCGGCTTTCCTGCTTTTTTCACCTGTCATTTATACTGCAATTAGTTGCAGTGGTGTAATTGCAAAATCTTAGTGTTTTAAAGAATAGCATTTAATTGTGCCAATATTACATGCTAACATGAGTCAGGCTCTCCTTGTGGCAATCACTCAAGAATTTAGGATGACGAAGTCTTCGTTTTGAAACATGCTTCTATAATGTTTGCTGTAGGGGACATGTTGAACTATGTACCTTTTCTTACAGCTTTTGTCTATGAGTGGGTCACTTCTGCTGATACATTAGATCGGCCAGTGTAAGTCAAATGTGACTTTTGAGCCTTGTGTGTGAAACATAAAAGTGACATTTGTGAACAGCTTGAAGATCAACACAGTTGCAGTAACACTTATCTATACCCTCTGTTTAAAGTTTATAGAATATTTTCAGATTTTAATTTAATCCTGATAACAAAACCAGGAGGCAGGAAGAATTTTGTTTTTCCTGTCTTACAGATGAAGAACCCAAGATTTGGTCAAATGCTTGGCTTAAGTTTACATGGGTTAGTAGTACTGCAGGTGGGATTAATCTTTCTTTCTAGAACCTTTTACAACAAGTTCATGAACAATGACTTTTTGCTAATTTAGCGGATACCTCTTTCCTCTTTATCTCTAGCATTGGACATTTTGTGCCACTTCTTGAAGACATGAAAATCTTTTGCTTTTCCTCTATTACATCTGATGGTTTTTCCTCTATCTCTTTCTGATTATTTAACACAAGAGATTCTCAGGACTCTTCCCTAGGTCCTTTTATGTGTTTCTACTTTATATACTTTCCTTAAACATTCTCCTCCATCCATGTATTCCATCTATGTACTGACACTGCCCACATCTATCTTCAGCCCCCAGTCTCTCTCCTGGTCTCAGTCTTATTTATTTATTTATTTATTTATTTATTTATTTATTTATTTATTTTTAATTTTATTATTTTTTTAATTTACACCCAAATTAGTTAGCATATAGTGCAACAATGATTTCAGGAGTAGATTCCTTAATGCCTCTTAGCCAGTTAGCCCATCCCCCCTCCCACAACCCCTCCAGTAGCCCTCTGTTTGTTCTCTATATTGAGTCTTTTGTGTTTTGTCTCCCTGTTTTTATATTATTTTTGCTTCCCTTCCTTTGAGTTCATCTGTTCTGTGTCTTAAAGTCCTCATATGAGTGTTTGGTCGTATTTATAAATACCTACATTTTGATGTCCTAGAAGTAAAACTCAGCATGCGTAAAGCCAAACTTAGGGTTTTTCAATCCAAACGTTTGTCCCTTATACCCTGTCCCTGTGTGTGGTATCCTTATCTACTAACTGCTCAAGCCTAAGACTTAAAACTTAACCTTAATTCTCACCTTCTCTTTCTTATCTCCAAGTCTAATCAATGATGGCTCCTGTTTTTCAACTATATGCCAACTCTACAGTCCTACTGCCATCATCCTACTCAAGGTGGTAGTAGCCTCTCTAGCCTGGTTTACAAAAATAGCCTTATAGTTCTTGCCTTTTTTCAATTTTTTTTTTCAATTCCCCATAGCTTTTAAGGTATAACACAGACTTCTCATGATGTACAAGATTCTATATCATATGGTCTCTGTCTACCTTTTGAGACTCATCTTTGGACCTTCCTTCTCATTCTGTTCTGTGTTACCAGAGGGAGCCTAGGGATAGAGAGGCAGCTGAGATGTCTGATGGCCATTCCACAAGAGGTACTAAAATATCACTAGAATCAATTGAAAACATGCTATCTTTTTCACACATGTACTCCTTTTTAATGTTGAAGATTTTCATTTGTGTGTGTTCACAAGAAGTTAGGGGTCTAGGAAAATCACTGAATAATTGGCAAAGGAGATTAAGAACTGGAAACGTTTTTGATCTTTATCAGAAATGACTCCTTTAGTTTAGTGGAAATGAATTAATAAGTGAACCCTTTTGTACATTCTTTATTAATATAACCCTCTATTCCATTAAATAGATCTTCTAACACATGTTTATAAAGGATATCAGTTTGAGGTTGTCCAGAATAGTCTGTGTTGGAAGCCAAATGTTTTGGTCTAGACATATTTCCAGCTGTACATGCTGTTTGTTCTGTTTTATGCATACTTTGCTTCTGCCTTATATCCTCCTATATGTGCCTCTGGAAACAGCTTAGAGGTATACCTTCCCTGACTTCACCCTATCCTTACACCTTTTTCCAGGCTAGGTAAGGTGCCTCATTTCTTGTCTACCATCTTGAACACCCTCATCTTAAAGATGCTCATCCACTGTAATATAGTTGTCTTTCTGCTCTTTTGTACCCCCACTAGATTGTTGACTCCCTTGGGTGGGCACTTTTCCTGTATTGTTTTTTGTTTGTTTGTTTACTATTCTCAATCTGTAGAAACATACTTGACTTACAGGAAACAGTATAGAATTTAAATGAATGTGTTCTGCGTCTATTTATTGTTTTTGTTTTGTTTTCTTTTTTTTTTTATTCTTAATGTTTATTTTTGAAAAAGTGAGAGAGAGAGAGAGAGATGGCGTGCAAGCAGGGGAGGGGCAGAGAGAGGAGACACAGAATCTGAAGAAGGCTCTAGGCTCCGAGCTGTCAGCCCAGAGCCCGATGCAGGGCTTGAACTCACAAACTGTGAGCC